GTACAACAAGGACTGGTCGGCTCGGAGTCAGTATAATGTGTCTGAGTGGGGTATTCATGCTTCACTGCGGCATGGTATCTCAGTGGGCTAGCACTATAAAACCAGCTTAAGTCTGGGCTAGTACAAGCAGCCACACATACACATACACACGCATGCACGTCGTCATATGAGCGAAATATTCTCAAGCACGATGTGGGAAATTGAACCCGGGTGTTCAGCGTGACGAGCGAACGCTTTAATCACTAGGCTACCCCGCCGTCCCAGAACGTAAGTGAATCACAGACGTCATGGGACTTGACGGCGCTGCAGTTAGCCTTGGACCCCACGACCTGGTGACATAGTATGCTATGAAAACGGGGTCAAGGCTGCATATTCTGTTTCACTGACCCTGCTCACATACTTACTCAGCTGATATTTTTTTTCATAACCCACGTGGTCAACGTATGGGTAGTTGCATACTAATGTCGTACGTCACACGAGTGTCGTATCGCGTTGACCTGTGTCGTAACGACTTCACCTGAGATTCTAACGATTTGATTGGATAACCGATGACCTCTCAATTAGGTCACATTCTGACGTAACTATTTTTTCATTCATAACAAACACGTGAATTCATTCATTCTACAACTTAAATGCATTGTGGGAATGTAAACATTGCTAACGCTTGCCGTGTCGCTGTTTAATTGTGATCATGAGTCGAACTGAGACATTATATCCGTCGAAAAACATAAACGCAATGTTTCCACCAGTGATGTTGGCCGAATGAAGCAACTGCAAACCAAGAAACGGGGTGCTACGGAGTAGTTTACTGTACGAGGCTGTACGAGGCGATGACAACTGACATGCATCGTGACGTCGGGTACCAAGGCAATGACGTCATTACAGTGTGACGTCATGCAAATATTGTACTACAGTACAAAACTCTTCCGCAACCTCTTTATGAAACCGGTTTCGGTTTGAAACCATAAAAATAACAAAAATACGCTATTTTGTCAATTTAATGCATGCAAGACGTGGGCAATAAATAAAATACCACACTCGGTCTCATTACATACGAATTATACGAAACTCGTGACCTTTCCTATGGTATCTGACCGAGCTTTGGTCAGATACCATAGGAAGGTCACGACTTTCGTATAATTCGTATGTAATGAGACCGAGTGTAGTATTCTCTATATGATACACATAACTGTAAACCAAATATTCTTCGTTGTCACCTAAGCCATCCAATGTCATATTTAACATACCAGTAACCTTTACGACGGAGAAGGCTTGCTTTCAAATAATGTAAATAGGGAATGACAAACGAGCTACGAAGAATTGCGATTTAATCTTTCCTGAAGTAATGGATGATGTTGACTTCAGCATTCATTGACGAGGGCAGAGAGTCCGCAACTTAATAACCTAAATCCGACTGACATTTAAAGAGGAAATGAAGAATAGTGCATGAAATGTCATCAATACTAAAAATCCCAAAGAAACAAAACGAATCCACTTCACAGAAGGAAGTCTTTTGTCAGATGACGTAATGTAATCAATTCATGACGTCATGAAAAGAATGGATGACGTCACGTCAATTTTTTCTATGAAGCAATGTCACGTCAACATTTCTAACAGCTAAAATTAACATGTGTAATTATCGGACAGTTTTTCACGCGATGACTTTATCCTTATGGTAAATATTATTATTATAGGATATTTATATAGCGCACATATCCAGGCAACTAGTGCATGCTCAAGGCGCTGGTATTTTTGCCTCGATCATTGGATGTCAATCTCAACGGCACATCGTATTATCAATCTCAACTCCCTGGGGCGCACTGGGTGGACTGGGACACATAGTAACAGTACTTTGTCCAAGTTTACTGCACGTTGCTGTACCCGCAACTAGGTGTTTGCACGTATTCATGTGGCCGCCATCTGGTCATATACCAACAGATTCGTGGGTTCTTTTACGTGCACAGGGTTGTGTACTGTACACTAGGGGTTGTGACAACACTGAAAGAGTCTGCACACAAAGTTGACCCCAAGATTTTTACACCCGGTCACAGGTGGGCTCGATCCCGACACCTCAACCTCGCTGGATCACTAGCCTGGCACATTAGCCAGCTCGCCCACCGCGCCTCCAAATATGCATCCATATGTTCCTGATGACAGCTGCTGTCCATGCCTCCGAGGAAACAAGTGTTACCATGTAATGTGATCCTACAACTGCTTCTATGGTCATCGATGAAGTATATTATTCTCCATAATCATTACACTCTACTATGCGCATGTGAACTCTACCAGATGCATGTCGCTTTGACATTAGACAGCATTTCGTTCCATGAACAGACGAGAGCACTTGCTGCTGAACAGTTATATAAAACGCCAGTGCTAAAGAATATCAATTTTGACAATCTTCAGAAATAGATTCTATTTGGTGTAAGGGGCAAAATAGCTGTGAAAATCATATGAATGGACCACTGAAAATAAGTGATGATTTCAGGCGAACGAGGGGTAGATGCTAAGGATATACAACTTCTTTATTACAATGTATGCGACGAGTCCGTGGAGCTGTTAACACCGTTATCAAGCATATGACGATTAAGTTATCCGTCGTCTTCATGGAGACGGGGCAGTCTGTGTCATGAAACTGACACCAGGTGTTCACGAAAAGGGTAAGCATGTCCTCCCCTGCAGGTAGCCCCCGTCATTAATACGGTTTACCTAACTTAAGTTAAAGAAATGTCTATATTAAAGAGGACAGGGTGCAATATGGACGATGCCAAGTTGAACTCAATACACGTGTAATCAATATCTCATACTCAACAGAAACTGGAGAGTGAGTGAGTGAGTGAGTTTAGTTTTACGCCGCACTCAGCAATATTCCAGCTATATGGCTGCGGTCTGTAAATAATCGAGTCTAGACCAGACAATCCAGTGATCAGCAGCATGAGCATCGAACTGCGCAATTGGGAGCCGATGACATGTATCAACCAAGTCAGCGAGCCTGACCACCCGATCCCGTTAGTCGCCTCTTGCGACAAGCATGGGTTACTGAAGATGAATTTTAACTCGGATCTTCACGGGTCAGAAGCTGGAGAACACCCAAGAGGGTCATATCGTTAGAGTTAATGTGTCCCTTATATAGAAGATTAACTGTGTTCATGTGAAAATAGGCAGATAAACTGTAATCATATGAAATTGTCAAATATTTGATTCTTTTCCGCAATATAGTATGAAAAGGGAAGGGCTGATATGACCAAACAATCACCTTGTCTCAGACACCTCTGAGAGCGGCGGGTGCGGTCGCTACAGCAGGTCATACCTGCCTCTTGCTCTCGTCGTTTTCTCTCAGGGTCTGTTTCAATACATGCAGTCACACCTTAGGCAATGGGTTTGTTCAAAATTGCTTCTGTTCACCCAGCAGAAAATGGGTACCCCGTGTGATAAGTCATGTGACTATTAACCTCCTTGCGCCTCACATGCAGCTTAGGTTATCCGGGTAATAATAATCAGATTATGTTTGTGCGCTTTGAGCAGGATAGGAACCGGGAAACGTCGCGTTGTATTCTACATTATTATTATTATTATTATATCAGTGTCATGAGTATTCCTGCGCTGTATGGAATCTGGTTCCGACATTCGAGTGTGATTATTCTACAACGTTTTGAATTCACATCAACCTGTCTCATTACCTCTATATTCACGTTCTGTTTGAGTACATTTTTCAAAACCCAACGCATCAGCTACCAGAGGGACCTAATACGACCATACGGCGCCTATAGGAACAGACCCTTTAACACTAACCACACCATCCGCTCCATATGCTGCGAATCCCAGCTTACAGTTTCAACGAGAACGTATAGTCACTTGTGTAGTGTGGGTTCTACCTATCTGACAGATCGATACCAGCAAATATACATGACATGAATCACCACAGGCCAGCCCGCTTAGTCATCAGGTAGCTGCTTAATTGGAGCTGGATGAGCCTGCTGTGGCAAATATTGACTTAGACTTTAATCCATTCATAATATCGTATGCCTAGGGGCTCATTTAATTTTACCAGAAAACCATATTCTCGTGATGATAATTTCATGAAATATTTACTTTGTGTATTTGTCAAGGAGGGAATAAACCCAATGAGTACGATGCAGTGAGAGCATCATACTGATCAGGGCCTAGATTTTCGAAGCTGCGCTTGGTCGTATTAATGTTAATGAATGGCATCGTATCTTACAAGAGAGCTGAGGATTCAAGATATCGTTTACACTGAGGACGAAATAATTGTTCTTCAGACAATTTACAGTTATGAATAGAATTTAGTAACATTACTACTGGTCTTTGTCTATAACACCAAATACTCCCAAAGAAATCATTTTTTAATAATAGTCTTTCTGGATATTACTACCATATTATTGTTGTAACGAGCATTCAGGATGTCTGTTTGAATATCAAAATTGTCTTTGGATCAAACCAATAAATTATTTAAGATAATAGTATTACAAAACGTAAATATTTCATGAAATCACTACCAATAAAGAATATGGTGCGGCAAATGATCATACTTAAAACAGCCATTCACCAGTAACATTTTGTAATTATTTATGACGAAGTAGGATCTAAACAGCAGTCAAATCAAAATGTAATCAAATAATACATTAATCCGATTATAAACATAGGTCTATTGGATATAATATGAATGGGAATAATTATATAATTGATATGAAACTAAATGTCACGCTCTCGTAATGTTGAGGCAAGTGCTTCAAGAATAGGAATCTCTAAAAACAAGAGCCTACGAAAATATCTGATTTTGTACAGCTGAATAATTAAAATGTGGTAAGATGCACAAAAACACAGACCGCGAGAGAATCAAAATTGCAAATATAGAACTTGAATCTCTCGGTTAAGTAAATTCATTCCGAGCTGAGCAAAAGCATGCTCACGGAGAACAAGCGATGGATCTGCTATCATCAGTCCGCTGACTCACATGGACAAGTTAATACGGGACCTACCTGTGTGTCTGTGGATATAGTACGGAATGCTGGTCATTCCGCTGAAACCCATGGTATAAAAACACAACAGTCCAAACTGTATTAGATTCCATCTTGGGGGGTCACTTTCCGTGCTTTCCGTCATGTTTTCCTCTGAAAATATCCCTTATTCCAAAGATTCTCCAATATTTTGACAGAATCACTCGATACTAGTGCAGGCAGACGACAGTAGCCACTTGCTGCAGATGCCGCCACTGCGCATGCGTGGGAAGAGGCTCGCCGGCTTCAGGATGATAATTACGTGAATTCCCAAGGGGTAGAAACGTCACTGCGCGCGAAACCCTGGCAATCAATGGCAGAATCGACGAATTCTTCTGCATTTCTCGTGCATACGAGAGCGTGTTTAGCTTGTGAATGCTGAACGGTCTAATATCGATCCCAGACAATTGTTGGCGGGATGAAGTGTCTTGTTGGACCCTTCCAGTCCCAGTATTGCTGCTTTTGTCATAGCAGGAGAATCTTCATCTTAACCAGAGGGGCACTGGTGAGATATTAGACTGCAGTCTTCATTTGCGAACAAGGGGTCACCGTCCCTTAAACGTTCAATCGTTATTTAGGTGACTGTGTCTTTTTGAAAAAAATGCCTAATTTTCTTCTGCCAGACTGGGAATTGCTGTTGGTTTTGGTTCAATGAAATATTCAATTTCAGGAGTAATAATTCATCAAGCACATACAAAGTTTAACCCTTTCAAATTGAAACAATAAACAACATTGCAGGGCCGTGTAAAGAAAATTGAAACTAGTATGGCTACACACAGTGCCCACTGTACACAAAATGCAGATTGATGGCATGTCGTTAGCAAATAAAATATGTCAAGTTTAAATTGGTTTTGAGCATACAATTAAAAATTAGGTTGAAAACAGCCCAATTTTGGGAGATGATTAATTATGTATCGCCTATTATGTCTAATATTTCAGTGAAGAATCATTTACCCAGCAGTTTAGCTGTTTTTATTACACTTAGCATATTATCGACTTCAACACACGGTCCTGCTTTACTGAATAATGACTTATGGTCTGTCAGTTCTTATTTAGACTCAAGGGACATTATTTTCAGACATTACCTTTCAGAGATAAATCATAATATGCAAAGTATTCAATTCGCTCATAAATCTTCCGACGAATATGTCTTAAAGAATGCTGTTGTTAGATTCTAATTTCTTTTCAGATAACTAATTTAACATGAGTTTACAAAAACACGACCGCCACGCTATTTTCGTATTGAAACTCACTTTAACACAATTCTTTAAAATGCCCTCCTCGTGCGACTGTCGACTTGAAGTTCTGACTCTACTCCTGAAGATTCTTTGAGAGCGAAGATCTAAAACGTGCAGCACAGAAGAGCCAATTTATATGGATATTACAAAGCTGGTTCTGCGATTTTAATGATGCTGGGAAACATTTCAACGCCATAAGAATGTTCCAACACACATCGGGATCAAACGATTCGTAGGAAAATGGTACTTAGCTGTTTCTGAAAACTGCGATGTTCTTGCCACCAAGGGTCTTAGAGGCTTGTAGTCGTGGCTTTTATTACACTCATACAAGATGTCGAAGGTCACTTTTCAGAACACGGTACGTTATGTTTGATGAACTATAGTCATTAGTGTTCAAAGGCTGCGTATGCGTGAGGTCATTATAAAACCAGTCCATTAAAACCTTATTCAGAAAACACGAAGTCAGTTAGTATTATTCATGCATAACCTTTTCTCTGTAATTTATTCAAGTCGATTAGTGGCGTGTTTATTATCGGGTTCTATATCGAATTGTGCTGTGTTTAAAGTCGGTTCCAATGTCGAAAAATATCATGTTTAATCGCTGATCCTGTATAAACTAATGTTGTGTTTATTTTCGGTGCCTCCATCGAATAATGTAGGTTTAAATGACAAATATTGTCATGGTTTTATTGTCGTTTCCAATACCAAATAATGTTATTTATAATCAGTGTTCCTGAACACAATAATCCTTTATGTCGGTTCCTATATCGAATAAGGCTGTGTTTCATGCAATATCGAATATTGTGGGGCGGTGGGGTAGCCTAGTGGTTAAAGCGTTCGCTCGTCACGCCGAAGACCCGGGTTCGATTCCCCACATGGGTACAATGTGTGAAGCCCATTTCTGGTGTCCCCCGCCGTGATATTGCTGGAATATTGCTAAAAAGCGGCGTAAAACCATACTCACTCACTCACTCACTCGAATATTGTCATCACGGTTCCTGTATAAACTAATGTTGTGTTTAAGGTAGGTGCCTCTGTCGAATAATGCTGTTTCATGTAGCTTTAGATATCAAATAATGTCATTACTTTATTGTCGTTTCCAATACCCAATAATGTCATGTATAACCACTCTACTCCGGTACGAAATAATGTTTTATGCAGGTTCCTATACCGAATAATGTCATGTTTATCACGGTTCCTGTATAAACTGGGGCGGTGGGGTAGCCTAGTGGTTAAAGCGTTGGCTCGTCACGCCGAAGGCCCGGGTTCGATTCCCCACATGGGCACAATGTGTGAAGCCCATTTCTGGTGTCCCCCGCCGTGATATTGCTGGAATATTGCTAAAAGCGGCGTAAAACTAAACTCAGTCAGTCAGTCAGTCCTGTATAAACTGGGGCGGTGGGGTAGGCTAGTGGTTAAATCGTTTATCTCGTCACGCTGAAGACCCGGGTTCGATTCCCCACATGGGAATGTGTGAAGCTCATTTCTGGCGTCCCCCGCCGTGATATTGCTGGAATATTGTTCTCTCACTCACTCACTCACTTAGGAGTTAGGACATCAAATAATGTCGGGCTTGATGTCTGTTCCTATATCGGGTAACGCGATGCTGAATATGCATTAGGACATCGAATAATGTCGGGCTTGATGTCTGTTCCTATATCGGGTAACGCGATGCTGAATGTGCGTTAGGACATCGAATAATGGTGGGCTTGATGTCTGTTCCTATATCGGGTAACGTTGGGCTTGATGTCTGTTCCTATATCGGGTAACGTTGGGCTTGATGTCTGTTCCTATATCGGGTAACGTTGGGCTTGATGTCTGTTCCTATATCGGGTAATGCGATGCTGAATGTGCGTAACGACATCGAACAATGTCGGGCTTGAGTTCTTTTTCTATATCGGGTAACGCGATGCTGAATGTGCGTTAGGACATGTTTGATGTCCAATAATGCGGTAACTGATTCTAATATGGAAAGAACGGTTGTTAAATATTTAGTAAGGGGTGGGACTGTGTGTTGATTCATTTCTTATTTGCATGTTTAATTCCGGTTCTGATATCGAATTACTTACAATGTCGAATAATGCGACAGTTTTCAACATGTAGTGTTTCTTGCACATCACTTAAAGAAACGCCAATATAATATTTTGGTGGAATGTCATTTCTGAAAAAAGGGGAGAATGACAAAAGATTGGTCCAACACGACTATTGCCTCCGCAGTCACTGTGATGGTTAAGAACACTACAGGACGAGAGGACATGTTATAAATCAACACACCGTAAGGTGATGAATGTGTAACGTTTGAAATAGGGTTGTCTTTACCAGTCTGGAACAGAACGAAATGTTTGGACAGTTCAGAATAAAATGTTTTCATGTTTCTTTGAATCATTTTATTCAAGAGAGATACCAGAATGTCATCGTCGAAATCACATGCCCCGCCCTCCATTTCTATAATAGCAGTCACATTGATTTGATCCAATTTGACTTTTGTACCGCGTCAACGCCTAGGGGTTTTAAAATTGACCCAATAACCCCGTGCCTTAGTTAGACAGATTGCTGTTTAATGTCTGTTGTGTTCTCCTCTGACATTCACACAGACACACACGCGCGTGGACATATATACACAGATCCGCTGACATACATATACGCACGCGAACATGCATACACGCACGTACACAGAAACATACCAATCACACACACTAGCACACATACACACACACATACACAGAAATACATACCCCACAATCAGAAACAGACCGCGCACGTACATACGCACGCACGCACGCACGAATGCACCCACAATCACGTTCGCGCGGGCATATATACACACATACGCAGAAATGCATACCCCACAATCAGAAATAGACCGCGCGCGCACACACACACGCTCAAACGAACCACTAATGTTGCATTAATATCTGAGTCATATCTCTACTTAGTGAACCATAGTTCAGTCTTTACAATTAACCGTCTTTTAAAATTACATAAAACACGACTTTTCCCTTGCCTGTCAATTCTAATACAATACCAGATAAATATTCCTACCATTACAGCCTCAATTTATCATTCAATATTCAGACTGTAGCAACGTGTATCAAAGTTGTCAATCAATTAATAACACAATTATCTTCCAGCCGTTGACTGTTACCAACGCTGTTCCGTGTTATAGGAATGTCAGCCTTTTTCACAACGATGGTAATCCCAAATTACCACCGCTGTTATCGATTTTCGTCCATGGATTGCTGACTATAATGCCATTTACGTTTTTAGGCGTAGCAAGAACTGTCAAAATGACAGGCATTCCAACTACATTTCTAGTACAGTTATGGGACAAATGGCAGCTGATGAGCGATATGAGATTATATGGAATAGGATGGCAAGCGGGTGTTACATGAACCAAGGCTGGTGACCTCCAGGTTACTTTCCCGATAGCCAACGTCAGTTTTACGCCAGTTGTCAAACCTGGTCCTTTTTTATCATATATCAATGAATTAAAAATCTGCAACGATTTCTAAATTAATAGATGAATAAGTAGATCATATTTCATCAATCGTTAATGGTAAGCTGAACAGATATTTATTAATGATTTTTTTTGGACATTGAGATTCGTAACGGCGGCAAAGGAAAAGAAGATGCAAGAGAAGCATCTTGAGCGAATGAGTCGATGTTTACCATAGCATCAACAATACTTTAAACATACAAACATACATCCTTGGAAAAACGAAAGAAAGAAAGAAAGAAGAAAACAAAACAAATAGAACTCTGCCAGCAAAACGAGAGAGAGAGGTAAGAGAGAGAGAGAGAGAGAGAGAGAGAGAGAGAGAGAGAGAGAGAGAGAGAGAGAGAGAGAGAGAGAGAGAGAGAGAAATGGTTATTGGATTATTTAATTCGGATTACAAAGTAGTGTTATGTGCTTGAAGTTCAAATTCAACTTTTCAACCTTGTATCGTTTCAAAAGTGTTCAGAATGGTTTAGTCAAATCCAATT